TGTAGATGGTAAAATGCACCAAAATTTGGCTAATTATTCCCATCAACTATAGGATGACGTCACCTCCAATGTTTACATATAAGTCAATATTATTTACACTTTACAAAATAAGACTCCTATGCTTGTGGTTTATGAATCCGTGTTGAGTTTTTTTACCTTGAACATCAGATTTTTGGAAAAAAGATCAAAATTGTATAGAATTGCAATTTAACTCTGAAACTGCAAAACCCAATTCTCTAAGATTATTGGTTTATGACCTCAAAAAATCATGACGTGCTTAATTAATTAATCAGTCCTCTGCTCTGCGTTGGGGAGACAAAATCAGTCAAATTTCATTTAATTTAAGCGCCGATGTTTGAAAACCGAATGTGCTAATTATCGAAGTCTTTCGTAGTATAAACATAAACAGTCGAAGTTAATCATGTACTGAGAAATAAATTTACACTCGTGCGAATTACGAAGGCGTTATTTACACTACTGGTTTTTATTTTATAGAGGTTAGTGTCAGAGTTTATAATTTTTCAAAGAAGCGGGATTTGTCGGACTATACTTCAAGGGGCAGGGAAGTTCTTTCGAATTAACCTTCAACCAATTTTTTATTTATACATATGTATGTATTAATTTTCTAAAAAAATCTTGAGGAGGATACCTTATTTGCTAAAATCGGTTTTATTTTAAGCAGGTACTTGCCTCACCCACCCACTTTCTCTTTTCTTAGAGGGATCTCATTTACCAAAATCAGTCTTATCTTACCATGCATTTGCTTGCAAATAATATTAAAATGAAACATCCAAGAAAACTGAAACTGCACCAGCTTAATGACAGAAAAGCAACCTTTGAATATGTCAAATTACGCCAACGTCACTCTAAGCGTACTATGAAAAAGAAAATGAAAAAGCTAAGAATAAAGAAAAATAGGATAGTAATCACCTTGTTGAATCGAAAAAGTTGTAAGAAACTAAGATCTGGACAAATACTAGAAAATATGGTAGCTAAGTACTTAGTTATAATTTCTTAATAGTTATTCATAAAAATGTATCTAATGTGGTCACCTACATTTGAAATTTCAAATTTAGCGCTACAACTAGATGGCAGCAGTGAGGAGGAAGCAGTACGGGACACGACGGGATCTAAACAGAATTTTTAATAAACCGCTCGTTCGAAGAGTAAAAATTAGTTTTACTAAAAAACCGACTACAATTTCAGGTGTGGGATGAACGACCTTAACATCGGAATGACCAATGTCCGATTTGTGTTTGTAAAGTGCTGATTCATGGAATAGTTACACGGATAAATGGTAGAAGAGTCAAGCACGTGGGAAATGTGAGGTTATGTCAACTCATCGCGTTTTCATAAAAGGAGAAGATGGCAAGAACCCTCCAAGAAGTGGAGTTGTGCGACGACGCTATTAAGAATGGTCCTTATGCATCGGTACGTACGCTATACGGCCTTGCCTTTGACGACGGTAGTCGGTTGAACAGAAAGAAGCTGTGTCAATGGACTGGTTTCCCTTTTGGGGTCGCATCAGATGACTTCAATGAGAAAGTGGATGAGGTAGTGCAGAATTTTACGATCGCAGAACTTTGTGGAGTCGGCCTTCTACTGGGGTTGAATTGTGCAGGTACTCACCAAGAAGTGGCCGAGAGAATTTGTTCAGTGTTGACTGATTTTGATCTGTTTACACAAGAAAGAGTTGTTCAAGAACAAGAGAGTGAAGACGAGGACGACGAAGATGAGCCGGTAGACAGTGATGATGGTCGAGCAGGCGCGGCAGCAGTCCCTACGTTCACCATGTCTTTCAGAGACATCGAAGATTCCGTACGCACTTTTAGTGGTGATGACAATTATGCAATCGAGACTTGGGTCGCAGACTTTGAAGACATTGCTAAACTTATGAAGTGGTCGGAACTGCAACGACTAGTTTTTGCGAAGAAATCATTAACTGGGCTTGCTAAGTTATTTATCCAAAGTCAGAGGAATTTGGGTACATGGAAGGACTTGAAACGCAGGTTATTGAGTGAATTTTCCAAGAAGGTGAGCACTGCTGAACTGCATCGCATGCTGAATAATAGAAAAATGAAAAAAGAAGAATCTCTCCAGGAATACTTGTTGAAGATGCGTGAACTCGCTTCAAAGGGTCAAATTGAAGAGGAGTCAGTAATCGAATATGTCATTCAAGGTATCAACGATGATCCTGAACACAAATTTTTGTTGTATGAAGCTAAAACTTATGTCGACTTAAAGAAAAAAATTGAAGTTTATGAGAAGATTAGAAAGACCCGTATACCTTCGACTCAATCTGTTGGTCAACGTTTCCGAAAGCATAACGAAAACAAAGGAACTTATTCTCCGGGGTCTGTAGGAGCGAAGGGCAGTAGTAAACCCCCTCCAAATCAGAACATAATTAGAAGATGCTATAATTGTAATGGTGTGGGCCATTTCGCCTCAAATTGTCCAATTCCGGTGAGGGAAAAGGGTTCCTGTTACAATTGCGGTTCAAAGGAACATCAGAAGAGGAATTGTCCAGAGAAGAAAAAGGAAGACAACACCACCAATGTGATATCAACCGAGACACAAGATCGCTATATGGTAAACGTTAAGATTAATGTTAAAGATGATTGTCAAACCGAATGTAGCTATAATTTGAATTCATTAATCGATGCAGGTAGCCCAATTTCAGTTGTAAAAGTTCGGTATGTCACCGAAAATAATTTCAATGAAGGTCTAAATCCAAATTTAAATTTCGTGGGTGTGAATGGATCGAAGATTGATATTTTGGGTATTTTTAACACGGAAGTATTTGTTAATGAAACTGTTTTACCCATAAAATTCTATGTAGTTCCTAATAGCACCATGCCCTTTAACGCTATATTAGGTAGAGATTTTCTCAATACCAAGGGTTTCACGTTTACGTTAGGAGATCATTTAAAAATTATTTCAAACGAATTTGAGAAAGTAAATAACTTTGACGAAATTTTACATGTCGATTTTAAGGTAGGTGAAGAAATAAAAAGTAACAAAGAAGTACAGATCAATCCTTGTTTAGATTATGATAAAAAAGTGGAAGTTTTGGAAGTGTATGATAATTTTTATTTATGTAATGACTCGCCAAAAATTGATTGTAATTACGAAATGAACATTTGTGTTAAGAACGATCAACCAATCTCTTTTAGACCACGGCGTTTATCCTTTTCTGAAAAAGAAAAATTACGAAACATGTTAGATGATCTATTAGAACGAGGCATTATTAGACCTAGTAGCTCTGATTACTGTAGTCCAATTGTACTGGTAAGAAAAAAGACAGGTGATTTAAGGCTTTGCGTTGATTATCGCGAATTAAACAAAATTACTATTAAAGACAACTTTCCTACTCCTTTGATAGAAGACAATCTGGATCGACTTCGAAACAAAAGATATTTTACGACCCTTGATCTTAAGGATGGTTTCCATCATGTTCGTGTAGCAGAATCGTCGATTAAATTTACTAGTTTTATCACACCTTTAGGGCAATTTGAATATCTTAGAATGCCTTTTGGGTTAACTAATGCCCCAAGAGTTTTTAACAGATTTATTAATTTAGTTTTCAATAAATTAATTCGAGCAAACAAAATTATTTTGTACTTAGACGACATTCTAATAGCGACCAACAGTTACGAAGAACATTTAGATATTTTGAAAGAAGTATTTGGTGCAGCCTCCCAACACAATTTGCTTTTTCGAATTGATAAATGTGCTTTTCTTATGTTTGAAATTTCTTATTTAGGATATCTAGTAAACAATGATGGCATCAGACCTGATCCGAAAAATGTCGAAGCAATTTTGCAGTATCCAATTCCTACAAATGCTAAGGAAGTTCATAGGTTTGTTGGTATTGCTAGTTATTTTCGAAAATTTATAAATGGGTTTTCCGTTCTTACAAAACCTTTATATGACTTGTTAAAAAAGAATGTTGAGTTTCGGTTTGGTGAAAAAGAACTTGAATCCTTTGAACAAGTAAAAAATCAATTAGCTTCTTATCCTCTTTTAGCTGTGTATGATCCGCATACCCAAACAGAGTTGCACTGCGATGCATGCACATCTGGGTTTGGAGCTATTTTACTTCAAAAACAGTCGTCGGGAAAATTTCATCCTGTTTTCTATTTTAGTCGTAGGACGACCGAAACCGAATCTAAATATCACAGCTTTGAATTGGAATGTTTAGCCGCTATTTATGCTATTAAACGATTTCATATATATCTCTTCGGTATACATTTTACGATTGTCACAGACTGTGATAGTTTTAGGCTTACTCTGAATAAAAAAGATATTAATGTTCGAATTTCTAGGTGGGCACTATTCTTACAAAATTATGACTACGAACTGCAACATCGTCCAGGAACACGGATGATCCATGTTGATGCTTTAAGTCGAGCCAACAATATTTTAGTACTAGAGGAAAATACACTGGAACAAAATTTAGCTATTTCTCAAAATTTAGATTCGAGTATTCAAAGGGTTAAGTCTGAACTCGAAATCCGCGAAAGTACAAAATTTGAACTTAGGAATGGACTAGTGTATAGAAAGAGCAAAGGAAAACTTTTATTTTACGTTCCTTCGTTGATGGAAAGTCAGATCTTAACTATGTGTCATGATAATTTCGGTCACGTTGGCGTGGACAAAACTATGGAGTATCTAAAACGCAGCTATTGGTTTCCTAGTATTAAAGAAAAAGTGAAAAATCATGTTCGAAATTGTTTGAAATGTATCACCTTTTCACCAATTGGTGGCGCTGTGCCGAGTGAGTTACACAATATCCCTATGGGAAATAAACCCTTTGTCACCATACATATTGACCATTATGGTCCATTAGAAAAAACTTCGACAGGTAAAAGATATATTTTTGAGATCATTGATTGTTTCACTAAATTCGTAAAACTGTATGCAGTCAAGAGCACCAAAACTTGTGAAGTAATCAATCAGTTAGAAAATTATTTTAGGCACTATAGTGTACCATTACGTATTGTATCCAATCGGGGATCCTGTTTTACCTCTAATGAGTTCGAAAAGTTTGTTCAAGAACATATGATTCAGCATATTAAAGTCGCGACGGGGTCACCAAAATCAAACGGTCAGATCGAAAGAATCAATCGAGACTTAACACCAATGTTGTCAAAATTGGCTATTTTAACAAACAAGTGGGAGAAAGCTTTGGGAACAGTTGAATTTGCTAATAACAATTCGTTTTGTAGATCCACTGGTAATTCTCCATCCGTTTTATTGTTCGGTATTAGTCAAAACGATCCTAGCGATCCTTTAAGAAATTTATTAGGCGCTGAAGCTGAAAAAGAAGATGACTTAGCCGAGGTTCGAGAAAAGGCTCAGTCTCAGAATGAAAAGTTACAAGCATACAATAAGCGCATGTATGACCAAAAACATAGACCTCCTAAACCGTACAATGTCGGTGATTATGTGATGATAAAAAACATAGATGTTACACCAGGTATTAATAAAAAACTTTTACCTAGGTATCGTGGTCCCTACGAAATCAAGAAGTCATTAGGCAATGATCGTTATTGGATTACAGACGTTGAAGGTTTCCAAGTAACGCAAATCCCATTTGAGGGAGTATGTTGTTCTGAGAATATGAAGCTTTGGCTTCAATAAGTTACAAAGAGATTAGTTTCATTTGTTCATTATTTCATAATGTTGTGTTTCTTAGTTTTGTTTCCACCTCGTTCTAGTTTTGACGCTAACATGTTCGTCTTTTAAGCGATTGGGTTTTCTAATCCATCTCTAATACCCTTACGATTTTTTTTTGTGTCCTAATTACTTATGTGATTTATGTACTTTAGATACCTATGTGCGTCTTATCATTATGTTATTTAGGCGTTATATTATGTATTGGATTTATGTGACTTATGTTTTCTGTCACTTATTATGTTACGTACCTTATGTTTTACTTTGTGTAACTTATGATGTTTGTGTGACTGAAGTTTAAGCACCTTATGTTTTCTGTCACTTATTATGTTATGTACCTTATGTTTTACTTTGTGTATATGATCGGGACGATCATAATGTCAGGATTGGCCGAATTGTGGTCACCTACATTTGAAATTTCAAATTTGGCGCTACAACTAGATGGCAGCAGTGAGGAGGAAGCAGTACGGGACACGACGGGATCTAAACAGAATTTTTAATAAACCGCTCGTTCGAAGAGTAAAAATTAGTTTTACTAAAAAACCGACTACACTAATGACATATCTTCCCCTTTCAAGATACACGTTTTGTATACATGAACGGTACAGAAAAAGGGTGATCAGTTAAGGAACATATCTGACAATCAAATAAATTTTCAAGACGGAACTAATGAAAAATAAAATTAGAGTTGTATGATACCCAAAAATTGTAACCAGCCGTCTATAGGCCACTTACTTGATGTCACTTTCCATTTTTAAAGTATGCTGTTAATTAACTAAGAGAGAAAATTTGCCACCTAATCAGGCTTGCCGCTCTAGGTAGCTAGCGATGCGTAGATACGGTTCTTAATGTAACATATGTAACCAGCTTTATATTCATCTAGAGTTTTCCTCTATTGGACCTACTGTTCTGAACAACACTAGTAAAACAGAGCAGACCAGTTTAAAGCAAGGTATATACAGGGTGTTTTTGAAAGGTATGTAAAAAGAAGCGGAAAATTAGACATGAGAAGCACATGTCATAAACTCAAAATCACTATAATAAATACTTAATAAAAGTTCTTTCGTTTTTGAGATAAAACTCGCTAAAAAATTTTTCGAAATTTGATAATATATGATGATAATTGTAGTTCAACAACAGAAAATTTCGGAAAATTTCACGTGAAAAATTTTTTTCGACAAAATGCTCTCACATAAGTTTTCCTCAAAAATGCAAGGTTATGGAACGCCGAAATGGTCAACATGGTTTTAATGTACTGCAGAGCAACGATTTTCTGATGTTCGACCTTAATTGTGCTAGTCTTCTCATCTGAACATTCGGTCCCACCCACCCTAGCGTGCAAGAACAGCCCTTCCAAATAATATTGCACGCTCACTTTAAACTTAATGAAGCGCAGCGCCAACCAGAGTCTAAAATAGGAGGCGAGATCGCGGTTATTCAGAGGACGTGATCAGTTTAAAAATTTGTGCGTGGAAGTAGTATCGGAGCAGTACTACGTAGTTACATAAGGAAATGTTCAGATGAGAAGACTAGCACAATTAAGGTCGAACATCATAAAATCGTTTGACCTGTGTAATAATCACTGTCGACTATTCCTTTAGGCAATTTGCTTGAAATCAATTAATTATGTATTTAATATATACTTAATATTTGACATTAGCATAAGAAACGCGTAGAGGGGAATATTTTTTGCGAAATTTATAGAATAAAAAAAGTTTTATATGGCTTTCCGAGATGCCCGAATTTACCAGATTGTTTGCATATGTTTCAAACTAACAATCATTTACAGAAAAAGTTGAAGTTGTACATAAAACTACTCTGGCGTTTAATTTATTCAAAAATAGTTCTGAATACGGCCTGTATGTATTGTTCGCATTTACCTAACTGATTACAGTCGTCTACGAGATCGAAAATGTTAAATTAATCCGTTTGTTAATTTTCATTGTTTTTGATATCCGTTTTCAGTTTCCCAAATCCATGTTATTAAAATTCACTGTTTTGTATGATTTTGTAAATCAACACAGTCTATTTATTCTTTACAAATTTTAATTCTCTTTTTAAGAAGTTTCAAAAGAAATATTTTACTCACGAAATGATTCAGTATTTTTAATTTAGTTATTTGTCTAAACACATTGTGGATAACGTACCCACAGTTAGCTTTGTTTCTGCCGTTTATAAACTAACATTTTAGAAGTTAAACAATGAGTTTGAAACAATTGCGTTTGCATAGAAAAAATCGGTATAATAAAGTTTTTCATAAACCGCACTTAAAATAATTCTTTTTGTTGCGATTTTGGACGGTAAATTCAGAATGTTTCAGCGGCGTAATCGTTCAATGTTGATGTGGTTGTGTGCAATGCGGGTTTATCATGCGTTAAATGTTTATCACATGTCGAAATCCGAGAGAACTAACAGTGGTTTGTTGGTTAACCATAAACGTTTTAATACAGGATGAGGTGAATAATTTAAAATAATTCCGTTGCAATTTCATGAGTAAAGAGAATTGGCAATTTTAGTCGAATCAGTGAACTCTTTCAAAATTTCGCTGTGCAAACATAGTTTAAATATATAAAATAGATGAAATGTTGCTAATTTTTTTTTGCAAATTAAACCTCACGTTTGATTTAGCAAATTAATTGATGTTTAAATAATTAAACTGCTTTGACTAGTGCACAAAACTAATTAACTCCATCCACCTACCTTCAAAAAAGTTTTAACGAATCCGTACGAAATGCTACTATTTACTTATGAACGCGACTTTTAATGGCGTTCTGAGAAAAATAAACATGAAGAAGTAACTATTATTTCGGTCCGTATATTTGACGACGGAAAAAATATTTATCTTCCGACTAAAATTTCTCTTTTATTTACAGCATTTCAACCCGGATATTTCATGCCACCATGCTTTAATGTCATGCTGAATATATGTCTTTCTTACCCCGAACGAACCTGATGATCGATGTCCGGCCAACTCAACCGTCTACTGCAGAAAGATGGCCTTTTGTCTGGAGTGGCCTTAGGAGATCTTTGTCTGAAAGAACCGGGCCGACGAACAGGTGGTGCAGGAACTAAACATTCCAAAGTGCTTCTACGTCTTTGGACCAGAGCACTGGCGCCAGGAGCTGGCAAAACTTTCGGGAAACCGGGAGTATTGCTATCACCTGAATTGCTGCGTGATCCCGTGGGAATTCCAGTGTTGGTTGTTTCCGCCGTGTCAGTTCTACTCAAGGAAAATCTGGAAAGAAAATAGTAGCATAGAAGCATTTTATAGACACTTTTGTATTGAAGTGAGTTTTCAAATAAGAATAATGTGCCTGCACTTGCGGTCACTTTTTTGTTCATCAAATACTTAGATGCAAACAAGCCTTTTATGCAGTTTGATGGATTTTACGAGGATCTTCGAGAAACTAAGTTTCATTTTGATATATTTGTGGCGAATGTTGGAGTATATATTGTTCATGCACAGTGGTGTTGATTTATTCTTCAAGAATAAGTATATTTTATAAAATTTGTTAAGAGGTATCTTATGAAATGGAGATCTTTAAAGTTAATTTTTCGTCATCATGGCAATCAGTGTAGACAGTACAATTACTGGAAAATGAAACTCCCAACTGTTTGTGTTTTGTTCTTGTTTGTGTAATGCTATAAACTTGGGTAATGTGCGAAGCTCTTCCGGAAAAGTGAAATCTTATTACATTACTTGGGAAATCTTAAAAGCCCTACTATTCTAGAATGCTTGTAATAATGTTAGCAACATAAACAGATTATGTGCTTTTAAACGAAATTAAAATAATGAGAGGAGGTTTCTGTGAGAGTGATCAAAGTTAATTGAATTAAAAAATAATACTATGGCTGGAGGAAGAAGTAATTAATAAACGATATCCGAAAGCTGCGCACAGCAATCGAACTTTTAAAATTGGAATGAGTTATATCGGTTCAAAGTTATTAGTTTCCATTTTAATTAAATTGGGAATTTTTTAGCGTCACCGTTTTTACAGGATAGATTTAGACCGATGAGTTTAAAATATGTATTATACACGAAAGGCACAAATATTTGTTCAAAGATATATACATTTCCACGAAATAACATCATTATGCGTTTTATAATTGGCGGATGCGCCGGGTAAAATATTTGCATAATCAACATACATATACTTTATCGCTAAAAAACCTTTTTAAATTGTTTACACATTGTTTGTTCCACGAGTTTCATTTTAGATACATGTAGACACTAATATTTACTTTTAAAGTGTAATTATGGGGAGGAATGACGGACATGACAAACTCCACTAAAAATATATTCCCATTATTTTTACGTTAAAACTGATTAAAGAGACGTTCATTGACGTAGAAAAATGTACCGATTTATACTTGTAAAAGATATAAAGGAAAAGTATTAAGAGACACTTTATACCTGTGAGAATTCTAGGTAACGAAGGAGACGTATATTGATGGAAGTTTAAAACGCGACAAGTTGAACAGGTGCTCTTGTTACTCAGACGTAATTTGATAAATTGGCATAAAAATTGCCTGGAATAATTATTAGAGAGGAAACCCAGACTGATACTTAATACATAATTGAAAAAATGTGGTATTAAACGTAAAATCCACAGCAAAATTTAAGTTTGTTGTCCAGTAGTTGTTAATTTTAAGTTTTCAAATATGAGGTAATTGTTGTTTTTCAACAATGTAGATAAGGTCCTAAATAATTTGGTTTAGGGTTGAATCTATCTGAAACTCTAGTGATGAAATAATAAATGAAACAATAATGCAGCCGTCGTTTGAAATCCGTTTCAAGTACAGGTGTGGCTGTGTTCGTGGTTAACCAGTTTATGCCGACAGTTGCTTCCGTTTGAGATACATTCAGCAAATAGTTGTTGCTTAAAATATGAAGTGTCTTTACAAATGCTGTATATTCGTTAATTTCGCTTACATAAATAAATATAAAATACAGGAATTTTTCTGCTTCATTTTTCTTAATTTTTAGTTCTGCAGTCTTTTGTTTGGATTTGAATAGACGGTGTCTAAAATTTCAGCTATTAAATAGGTATATTATAATGATTATTAAATAGGTTCCTTTTCATCAGAACGTTCCACATATATGTTTTTTTTTTCTTTTTTAGAAGGCTACGTTGTGTTATGCGCTGCAATGTGTTAATTTTAAATAAATAGTAGACATAATTGCTTTTGAAGATAATATTTGCAAAAAAAAGAAAATTACTGGTTCACAAAAATAATAGGGTGTGATTTTTTAAACTTTTGCTCGAGTTGGCCATGATGCTTAGGCCAACAAGAGCAGAAATTTAAAAAATCACCGAATAGTTGGTAGTCTAATAACTTAACAAGTAACATGTTAAAAGTAATGAAACTTTATTTTGTTGAGGAAGTGCATATTAATTTTTTTGGAAATTGAAAGAAATTTGATAACCTTAAAAATACTTCTTGAGTTTAAGGTGCTATTTGTACACAAGTACTTTAATGACAAAGTAGGCTGTGTCAAGGTTGCTTAGTAACAAAATTATAAATAACATAACCACCATTTTAAAATAAGGGCATTATTTTTACCTAACTCACAACGTTAAAAGAAAGAAAGGCGGCTTGATATTTTTGAATTTTTTTTTTATATACATTTATAAATGCAATAAACTTCTAGATGTGTTTCCTTAAGAAGCAGTATTAAATTCATATAAAGTATTATTTTTTTGTTCTTGATGTAGCGTATGTGGACACCAATTAACTAACGGTGATCAAAATTAGCTAGCTAATAATTTATTTTGAATAGTAGTTAATTATTATTAAGAAAATTTTATAAATGCTATAAGAACTTTCCTTCCAAGTTATTTTTGACGTATGAAAGTTTAAATTACATATAAAAAGATGTAAATTGACACTAAATTTTAGATCTACGAATTTTAGGAATGTGGCTAATTAAAATTTGCCTGCTCATCTCTATCAAAATTTTTTCCAAGTTTTGCTAAGTAAACCCTATTTAAATTTTATGTTATAGGTATCTATTTTTTACCACAGGAAAAGAATTCAAAATTGTTTCACAACATTTTACAGTTTCACTTAGAAACTACAAAATCGAGTGTTCAAAAATGTTTTAATGTTACCGTAAATGAGTTAAATTGTTAATCAAAATTTATCTGATTTCCCTTCCAAGTTTTGGTAGGTCACCCTTTTCTGTTCTTCTCTGTAGTTCTAGTTTCCCACACTCTCTTCACTTGTCTGTTTTTTCTGTATTTTTTATTTTATCCCTTCTGCTTATCCTCTAGTTCTTCATAAGTATTTTATTTTTGTGCTTGTATTCTTTTCTTCTGTCCTTCTGTTGGGATCTAGTTCTCGTTTCTATATAACAAAGATTGTAGCTTAGATTTTTTTTGAGGTGAAGGAAATATTGTAATCGAGTTCGTCGGCCGACTCTCTACTTTTACGTTTTGTCTGTCTGTCTGTCTGTCCGTCTGTTTGTCTATCCGTCTGTCTGTCTGTCTGTCCGTCTGTTTGTCTATCCGTCTGTCAGTCTGTCTGTTTGTCCGTCTGTCTGCAAAACCGAATGCTTTGAAATCTTGGAGATGTTTTAAAGTTATCATAAGTATGGTAAATTTTTGACAAAATGTATTTGCTCATCACCCCTAAAAATTTGATGACGTCACCTCAAAATATATATAAATCATTTATCACTTCATTAATATTCTTTGGATATGCTTATACAGGGTGTATAAAAAATACAGTAATGACTGTGTCAATTTATTTAATCGAATAAATCAAGAATTGCAAAAGTAAATACTTTGAAATCTTACAGCGGACGTTTTAAAATTATTGTAAGCATCATTTCAAGATTTTGCCGAATAAATTCTACCCAAAATGTGATTTATCGAGAACCGCTATGACTTAAAATAACGTAAATTTCGGGGTTTGACATCTGCGAATATAAAAAAACACCTTAATGATCCCGGACTTAGGTTTTCGAGGTATTAGTTTTTAAGTTCATATTTATAAAACATTAAAAAATTACTATACTTCATTTGGCAATTCCCGAACTTTCTTAGAAATGAAACCAAAAAGAAAATCTAGAGACGGAAATCTGTAAAAAATCTTTTGAGATAATAATAATATTCGACGGTGCTCGAAGAAACACAAAATTTTCATAAAATTTGATTTAAAAAAATTAAGCTTTTAGAAAAGTTGCCTAAAAATTAAGTAAAAATTGTGGAACGCAGCTTTTGACAAGATAATTCGAAAAACATGGCGTGTCGACTATGAAGATGAAGATCTTAAACTATTTCTTTCCAAAGTCAAATTTTTAAAAAATTCTAAAAATTGTAGTATTAAATTTTGCTAATTTCTGAAAAATAATGAAAATTTTCGAAGTTTCTGGCGGTTCTGGAAAAATGGTTGAAAATTAATAATAACTTCCTACAAAATTTTTATACATACATTTATTTTATTTTGACGAAATTGTTAAAACCCCTATATTTCAATTAGCGATTTACGAAAAACGGTAGAAATTTCCGAAGAAATGAAACCCAAAATGACTTCTGGATATCGTAATTTAAAAGAAAATGTTAAAAGTGCAAAAACAGTGTTATATTATCAAATTCTAGCATCGCCCACCCACCCTCTGTTTTCTTAGGGGATATGTTATCTGCCAAAATCAGTCTTATCTTATCAAATACTCGCCCCGCCCACCTACCCTCTATTTTTTTAGAGGACATGTCATTTGCCTAAATCACTCTTATCTTACCAAATACTAGCCCCACCCACCCGCCCTCTATTTTCTTGGAAGGTTTGTCATTTGCCAAATTCAGTCTTATCTTAGCAAGTACTAGCTCCGTCCACCCACTGACTTGCTACGATCATACTGATTTTGGCAAATGACATAGCTTCCAAAAAAACAGGGGGTGGGTGGGCGGGGCTAGTATTTGATAAGATAGGACTAATTTTGGCCAATGTCAAACCTTCCAAGAAAATAGAGGGCGGGTGGGCGGGGTTTGTATTTGCTAAGATAAGACTAATTTTGGCATTTTTAACATTTTCGATCATTTTTCAACCAGAAGTCACTTTCGGCATCGTTTCTTCGAAAATTCCTAGCGTTTTTCCAAGATCGCCAATTGGAATACAGCTATTTTTAACGTTCCGTCAAATTGGCTCGCTATGAAAATTTTGTAGACAAAAAGAAAATAAAAAAGATTATGGAGGTATTCATTTAAAAAAAAAAATTTTAATATTTCTAAA